TTGAGTGTGTGCTTAGAAGTCAAAATGTTCACTGAACTTGGAAGAGTAGAATAAGAGAGACAACATTAGAACTAGGAATAGATAACAGTTCTCCCCCAGAAAGCAAGTTGAATGGAGTTGAAGGACAAACTGCTCCTTGTTCACCTTTCTCTTTGATTTTGCAGAGTTTTGTACTGTTGCCCAAGGGTGCCTCTACACTGCAGATTAATGTAGTTTGACACCACTTTAACTGCCATGTCTCAATACACTCGAATCCTGGGAGCTGCAGCTTTATAAGTCTTTAGGCTTGTCGAAGTGCATTAATTATACAGTAAGAGCCCCACATGGCACAATGGGGTAAACGCTTGTGCCAGCAGGACTGCTAACCGTAAAGGTCAGTGGTTCGAATCTGGGGAGCGGGGAAAGCTCCCATCTGTCAGCTCCAGCTTCTCATGCAGGGACATAAGAGAAAGATGGTAAAACATCCGGGCATCCCCTGAGCAATGTCCTTGCAGACAGCTAATTCTCTCACATCAGAAGCGACATTGTCTTTGATTTTGCCCTCGAATCAATGCCTTCGAATCCCGGGAGCTGTAGTTTTATAAGGTCTTTAGACTGGTCAAGATGCATTAATTATACAGTAGGAGCCACCAATTGCACAATGGGTTGAACCCTTGTGCTGGCAAGACTGCTGACCATAAAGTTCAGTACTTTGACTCTGGGGAGTGGGTTGAGCTCCCATCTATCAGCTCCAGCTTCTCATGCAGGGACATGAGAGAGGGATGAGAGAGGGAGAGAGGGATGAGAGAGGGACATGAGAGAGGGATGGTAAAACATCCGGGCGTCCCCTGGGCAATGTACTTGCAGAAGACTAATTGTCTCACATCAGAAGTGACTTTGTCTTTGATTTTGCCCTCGAATCAATGCCCTCAAATCTTGGAAGCTGTAGTTTTATAAGGTCTTTAGGCTTGTCAAAATGCATTAATCATACAGTAGGATCCCCCAATGGCGCAGTGGGTTAAACCCTTGTGCCAGCAGGACTGCTGACCGTAAAGGTCAGCGGTTCAAATCCAGGGAGTGGGGTGAGCTTCCATCTGTGAACTCCAGCTTCTCAAGTTGCTCCTAACATGAAAAAAAATCTACAGTGTAAGTGTAACCAGACACTTGTTGATAAATCATCCTATCTGAATATGGTTAGGATATACAGATCGCCCTCAGGATATGATCTAAAGCAAATAGAAAATACACTCTCAGTGGTGTCAAGTGGCATTAATTCTATAGTGTAGATTCACCCTCAATGATAATTTCCATGTTGCTTTATTTGAAGTAATTGCTTTATTTGAAGTAATCTCAGGGTGCATCTACACTGTAGAATTATTGCAGCCTCAAAGGCCTAGGAACACCATTCCTTCTCCACAGGGAAGCCTCCAAACTAGACTCCCCTTAGCTTTACAATCTCCCCTTCTCTCAGCCTTTTCCTTGCCCCCAAATATGATTTGGGGGAGTCCCCCCCCCCCAATATCTTGCCTGCTTGCCTCTGACGGCCAAGAGGAGTCATCAGAGGGTTAAGCTATCAGCTCTATCATGTTAAACAGGTGTCAAAGGCGCCTCCATAGATCTGCAGATTGAAATCAAACCCTTCGCCATATAAAAAGATAAATTACCCAGGCGATTCCCGCCTCGTCCCACTCATCAGGCCAGCGCCAGACGGCAAGCGTTTTTTTTTTTTATAAAATGTGCTAACGACCTAATCAAGCAATCAAGTCGGAGAAGATTGCAGAGTGACCCCCGAGCATCCATCTGCCAGCCAGGCCCCGCCATTCATTTCCATCCCTATGGAGACATAGGCTGCTTCCCCAGGAAAGGGGATGGTGGGCCAGAAATGAAGGAGCTTTTTTTGATTTTTTAAAAAGGATTCCTAAACAAATTAACACCCAATTTTCCAGCCTAATTAGTTAAATGAGAAAAAGCCGGTGGCATGACTGCGTGGGCCTGTGGCACCGCCAAAGGGAGGAGGCGCCGTGAGCGGGAACTTCGACGCGGCATTAATTAGCGCGGGTCAATGGCGCCCATCCCCTGGGAGCAGCCGCTTTAATTTCCCGTGATATTTCAGTGCCTGAGGCCCATCGATTCAAACTGAAATTAACTTATTTTTCAATCAGGCCTAGGCTGCCCCTGGGGCTGACTCTTCCTTTGCCTCCTCCTGAATAGGCCGTGAGCAATTTTTCATCTCCAAGCTGATGCCTCTTCTGAGGCGAGGAGAGGAGAGGAGGGGAGAGAGTGACAAGAGGAATGGGAAATGGGAGACAAAATGGGCAAAAGGCAGGCAGGCAGCCAAGCCGGCTAATAGATTTCTGTTGGGCTCAGGCGGCCCCAAGGATGTGGCGGACTGGTGTGGCCTCCTGAAGGGCAAGCGAGGCCTCGTAAGGCCTCATCTACACTGACCATTTAATGTATGTGGTGGACTGGTGTGGGCCTCCTGGAGGGCAGTTGAAGCTTAGTAAGGCCTCATCTGCACTGACCATGCAGTGCATCTGGTGGACTGATGTGGAACTCCTGAAAGGCAAGCCAGGCCTAGCAAAGCCTCATCTACACTGACCATTTAATGTATGTGGTAGTGTGGGCCTCCAGAAGGGCATTTGAAACTTAGTAAGGCTTCATCTACACTGACCATGCAATGTATGTGGTGGACTGGTGTGGGTCTCCTGAAGGGCAAGCAAGGCCCAGTAAGTCCTCATCTACACTGACCATTTAATGTATGTGATGGACTGGTCTGGGCCTCCTGAAGGGCAGTTGAAGCTTAGTAAGGCCTTATCTACACTGACGATGTAATGTATGTGGTGGACTGGTGTGGGTCTCCTGAAGGATAGGCGAGGCCCAGTAAGTCCTCATCTACACTGACCATTTAATGTATGTGGTGGACTGGTGTGGGCCTCCTGAAGGGCAGGCGAGGCCCAGTAAGTCCTCATCTACAATGACCATTTAATGTATGTGGCCAACTGGTGTGGGCCTCTGGAAAGTCAGGCGAGGCCTAGTAAGGCCTCATCTACCCTGACCACTTAATATAGTTCGAATCTAGCTCCAAACTGCAGCAACCAGGGAACAACCTCCCACAAAACTGTGCAAAATAAAATGTGCATCTGTGGTTTGTGTAATCCCCATCCAGGCCTCACACTGGATTTCTAGGATTCTAGGATTTTCTGTGTAATCATCTGCACAGCAAAAACACTTTCTTCAATACTGGTTTGAAACTGCAATACATGTTCAGTGCAGACTGTGGCAGAGCAGGGATGATGGGGCTAAGTCTCTTCCCTGCTCCACCACAGTCTGGGTTGAACAAGCCCTCTTTATCATATTGTAACCACCTTTATCACAATGTCCCCACGATCTACCTCTCCTCCTTTGCAATGCAGCTGCCCATTAAATAATGGAAGAGGGAATCCCAGGAGTGAGAGCCAAAAGCCACTAGCACAGGAAGACACTAATGAGGAATTAATTCTAGTCCTGCAACTGAGCCGTCAAGTGCCGGTCCCTACTAGCACTGTGGAGAGAAGGAAAGCGAAAATGCAGGTCACAACCTAAAGGAGAAAAAAGGCTAAAAGGCTCATTGGAACTGTTTTAAATTGTGCATTCAGTATCTGACTTGTCAGAGAATCCTATTCAGGCACCCTTTCTTCACACACCTGCATTTCAGGTGCTGTAGGATGCAAGCCTATAGCCAAGGGGTGTGTGTGTGTGTCCAAGTTCAACCCCCCCCCCCCCCCCCGGTTGAAAATTTTCAGATCAGCTTAAACATGAATATGGAATAATATGTTTCTCTCTTTTTGTGTGTGCAATGTGTTTGTTGACACAGGCAAGGACATATTGGATAGGCAAAAACTTCACAGCTTCATAGAGATTCATTAGGAACCATTTTATAACTCCATTAATTTATTGATTGATTTTTAAATGAATAGCAAAATACTCTTCTAGCTTACGTTAAAAAATTAAAACACCAGTACTAATTTCAAAAAAATAAAGCCAGCCATTTTAACTCTTCTAAATTACAATTTGATCTAAAGCAACCATTCATCATTTTCATTTTTACTTTTTATGGACAGTGATTGGCTATTTTGCTTAAGGAAGTACTTCGTACAAAATCATTCTTAGTGCTTTTAGTTTTTTCTTTCAAATGATTGTTCCAATGAATTGGACCTTTACCTTTACTATGTACAACAGTTGGTGCTACCAAATCAGTCGTTCCCAACCTTTTTTTTTTTAACCAGGGACCACTTTGACCAGGGACCACTCTCCAAAATTCGTACCAAAAGGGCTACAAATCGGTGTTTGGTCAACTTTAGATTTAGTTTGGTAATTTGGGGGACTGATTCAGAATATTGCATTGGATAGACTACATCAGCTCTAGTTTCTGATACAGAACATATGCCATCCAGTAGTCGCCATCTGCTTGCCCATGGAAAACCATATTTAATAATCTAGAGCTGATGTGGTCTATCCCATTCAAATTTTCTGATTCAGCACCTCAAATAACCCCAGGAACAGGCCTAAAAATGAAGACACCAATATGCTCCCGCTTCCAGGTGCAACATGGAACAGCTCCTCTCAGGGGGAAGGAGGGAGAAATAGCAGTCAGAAGGCTTGTGGTCACGCTGTTTGTGGATGCCATCCTCTCCCTTCCCAACATCCCCGTTGCCTTGGTACTATAAGAGGGTTTCACGAGACCAGTCACTCTAGTTGCAACAGTGTAGTAACGGTGAGTCTGTGGACCATATTTTAGTTCTTGGGGACCACTGGTGGTCCATGGACCACAGGTTGGAACCACTGCACTAAACAGTAGCACCCATCCTGCACATTCATAAAACAGTATGTTCCCAACTGTATGTTAATTTACAGGGCCCATGCAATAGTCTACTGGTATCAGGATCCATCTGTTTAGAAGCAACCCTTCTAATTGTAACCCCATACTAGCATATATATTATTTCACAGTATTGGCTTTATTTAATGTTATTTGTTTTTGTAGGTTTGGTTCCAGAATCGAAGGGCCAAATGGCGGAAGAGGGAGAAATGCTGGGGCAGAAGCAGTGTAATGGCAGAATATGGGCTTTATGGTGCAATGGTACGTCACTCCATCCCACTGCCAGAATCCATCCTCAAATCAGCCAAGGATGGCATAATGGAATCCTGCGCTCCTTGGCTGTTGGGTAAGATATCAGCCTTGGGAACAGATCTGTTTTGTCTAGCCTCTGTTCTGGGAGAAAGGAAGGAGCAATTGGGTCAAGGACATATATAGGTCAGGGCAAACCGAGGTCTGCTGTTTATTGTACTGCAGTTTCCATCAGCTCATTCCACCATGGTCAGTGATGAGGATGGTGGGAACTTCAGTCCAAAACATCTGTAGGGTCATGACTTGCACACTCCTGATAGAATTAAACATGAAGCATACTGCTGCAGGCATGAACCATGCCTATAGTTTCCCCACAGAATCCATTTTCTTAGAGTTACTCTGTTTCAGAATAAAAAGGAAAGTGTGGGGGGAATATAGTGGCAATTTGAAGACTAAGGACCTTTTCACATGGGGCTAAAATTGGCGACATGCAGCAGTTTTAGCCCAGGCCACTCATGGAGCTGACTGGCTCCCATCAGACGACACCTGCATGGCTCTGTGGGTAAAGGAGGATGGAACCGGCGCATGCCACTGCCAGAGCAACACGTGTTGCCGTAGAATAAGTGGAGGGAAGCCGTGCGCTCCATGTGTGCTCCATGTTTCCCCCCATGTGATTGCCCTCACCTGGATCTGGGCAATGTGGGTTGTGGGGCGTCAGATTCTCCATGCCACCTGACAAATCAGAATGACGCCAGCAGCCATGTGACAAGGTCCTAAGTGATTTATTTTAGCATGAGCTTTCATTTACTTTCATCGATATAGCCGAAGGAATGGGTTAAAATTCATGAAAACTCATGCTAAAATAAATCAGTTTATCCTCAATGTGCCTTCTCCATCCTTTCCTTTTCAAAAGGTTCTCTCTCAGGATTTCAATGCTTCCAGTTGTGGAATTCTATGATCTGCATTTTAGCAATGAGCTCTTAGGATTCTCAGCCAGAATTCTCTATCTAGTTTTTTCACTAAGCATTTCATAGGATTTCATAGGGGTTAACAAGAAGGCCCACTCAAGTGCTAAAAAGGGCATGGGAAGACACCGTGTTGTGCGCGGGGAACTTTTAAAATCTGTTGAAAAAGAGCAAAAGCAACTTCTGTGAGCACAGCCCTTTCATTCACAGAAGGCAAATCCCAGATTCAATGCAATTAGTTTGTTTAAACATTTTGAAACTATATAAACAAATAGCCTCATTATGGGATTAGCAGATTTCCTCTTCCACTCCTGCTCCTTGCTTTGCTCTTCTCTCCTGCTTTTCAGACTAATTCTAAAAACTAAATTAACACTTGGCTTCTTACAAAAATGTTGCTGCATGCTTCTGTCTACTACATGAAACCAAAAGTTGAAAAACAGAGAGGCAAAGGGCAGATGTTTACTTCTTTCCAGCCCCAGAGATGATAGCAGAACGAGATTTACTTAATAGGGTTTTTGTTGTTTACATGCAGTAGCCATCACTCACCATGTTGCTTAGGCTGCAATTCCAATAAACCGTTGCCATTGACTACGTTGGCTAGGGCTAATAAGAGATTTAGCAATCCAACAATATTTATAGTCCACAGGCTAATCTTGACTTGCAGAATTACTGCAAGAATGCATTTCCTCCACTGCTTTTTCTCTGTCACTTGGGAACTGTACACGACATTAGAGTCAGCGGCCCCAAGTCTCTATTTCCAAACACTAGGATTTCAAAGCAGATAGTTTTTGTCACTTTCATATTTTCTAAAATAATGGCCTCTGGGCATTTCTAACTATGTACAGTATCTTCATAAGCAGTGGTTCCCTACTCCAAACTCTATTTATGACAATACATTATATCAGGCATGGGCAAACAATGGAACTTCGGGTGTTTTGGTTTTCAGTTCTCACAGTTTCTAACAGCTGATAAGTCCAAAACACTTAGAGAGTTGAAGTTTGCCCATGCCTGCATTATATCTATCCCCAACTTGTCTAATGTATGTAGACTTGGCTCTAGGGTTATAATGTTGGAAGGAATAAATTCAGGTGTAGCCTTATCTTATTGCATATTAAAATCTGCCCAAATCTAGCTTTTGGCTTTAGTGACTCAGCTAGGATGACTGGCCCTCTCTGACCGAGAGCTGGCCTGAAGTTTTCCCCCTTCCCCGCCTTCGTGCGCAGGACCCATTGCAGTGGGCTCTCTGTGTGACTGCTGTGTGAAGCAAGGCTTTCTGCTTTTCCTTAATTCTGGCCTCTCTTTATCTTTACTGTTTTCAGTTCAAGATGGCTTTCCCATGCCCAGGCGCTTTTCTAAACCCGAATACCAACAATTCTTTTTAGGAATGCACAAAAAATCTCTGGAGGCAGCGGCTGAGGCGGGAAGGAAGCCAGAGGTGGAGCGCCAGGCCCTGCCCAAGCTTGACAAGAGTGACAAGGAAGAAAGGGGTCCAGACTCCAAAACCACCATTTCCCAGGAGGAACTCAGAGAGAACAGCATTGCTGCCCTCAGGGCCAAAGCTCAGGAGCATAGCACCAAAGTCCTGGGGACCATCCCTGCAGATCCTCCTAATCCAGCCAGGAAGCCAGAGAACGAAGAACCGGTTACCACAATGGAGGACGAACGGCAATTGGAAAAATCAGATTTATCACAAGAGGAAGAGAAGCTGGTTTAGAATGAGGAAGATGGGAAAACAGCTGTCTCCTCAAAGACCGATTCCTCTAGGAACTATGCCTTCTCTCAGACTACCAAGGTCCCTCTTGCAGTCCCTTCACAGCTACGGGGAAGTCTCACTTGGTCTCTGTACATTTCAGGATGTCACAGGCTAAGACCATGTTCTGCTGGGTATGTCTAGAGACTGGTTGCCCCTCTAAAGTGCATTGTTCCTGCAATCCTTGTCCTCAGGAATGCTGTGGCTCTACGGCCTTCCCTTGTTTTAAATGGGGAGAGGGCAAGGGGGCTATATACGATCACGATCTTAGTCCAAGAGGAAAACACAGCTTGCTAGGACTTTTTCCTCAACACCAGCCACCACACCAAGGCCATGTCTTTCCTCTCTTTCCCTATCATTCAGTCTCTGTTGCCCCATTCTCAGAGTACCTTCTGTAATCTCACTGTATTTCATGGTCAGAGTTAACTTCTTTCTCCTCTCTGTCAGGTTCTTAGCTTTCCCAGGGAAGAATGACCCTTTTCATATTTATACATTAATTTATGTAAATATATGCGTGTTTTAAACTGCTCGTTGCCTAGCATTGAAGCTTGTTTAAAAAGAAAGTCATTCCCTCTTCCTAACATCAGGCCAAATCTAAAACTGGCCAGGTGACAACCCTACCTCATAGCGAGCCTCGCCTTCATGGCAATATCAAAATTGTTGATGAAAGAGGCCCAGATACCCTTTTAGTGCAATGTGAATTTCCCTTGCAGAAAAAATTGCTCATTTGTGCCATCCAGATTGTACTATCCCAAAATACTCACCTATATTGCTCAGGTAGCATTGCTATCCCCCACTCCACTTGACCAATATCACTTTAGAGAAAAATCTCTTGAAACAATGCGGTATTCCATTGTACTGAACTAAATTTTCCATGTTTCTTTCCTGAGAGAGCACTGAAGTTGGAAAGGAGTGCTTAATTTCTGAAACAAATGTGTCAAGGCACGTTGGAGGTTATATTGTCTGACATTGGAGCTTTGCTCCTTCCTCCCAAATTTGGACATATAGGATCTGCGTGGTTTGTTGACACGTCAAGGGAAATGCATTGTCCATGCACTATGTAACTTATCTTATTCTATGGGTTTATACCCAGTATTGAGTACCAGTTTGTGAACCTTGTCCCAGTTTAAGGCTGGGCTTGTGCTCTGTAATCTTGTAAGTAACATCATGGTTCTCAAATAGAAGTCAAGAAATAGCCACGTTTTGAGGGTGGAACTGTGTTGGAACAGCATTTGACTCTCAAATGAATGTGTGAACTGGTATCATAGTGATGCCTCATGCTTAATATTATATAGAAGTCTTCCCAATGGAGTTTGATCACTCAGTTATTCAAAGGTACACATTACTGGTATTTGCTTGCAAATGATAAGGATAGATTGCAAAACAATCTACATAGGACAAGCTGTTTGTGTGCACTTCACCTATCTCTATCATGTACAGTTAAATATTAGTTGAACATCAGTAACAAAACTGTTCAATGCCACTAAAATGAAGTAAAGCACTTATTTGATACTCCAAATCCAAAAACAACAACAACAAAGCTTCACATAGCCAATGGCTTTCAAAAACATTAATATGATACACTGTCATAAAGAAATTCACTCACTTCCATAGTGACATCCTCTTCTATTCTTCTATGAAGGCTCACATATCCTTTCCTATTTTTATTTGCAACAAAGATCTTTTTACCTGAAGTTGCTGTTTATTTCTTTATGATTAAATCTCTCCTTCCCACATAATCCTTATCTATCCCCCCCCCCCCCCGTTATTTGGTGTGTTAGATTATAGACCATGGTATGTAAATAATGTACATATGGTGAGAAAAGTTGGTATTTGAGGTGTTTAAGATACAAAATTGTAACAATTAGTCATTTGAAACCTGTGATTTTTTTGGTGCCATTTTCTGTAAAGATAAATCAGAATAAAACTGAACTAAAGATTGGCAAACATTATACTGTAATGCACTTAAAGGATGAGGATGGGGAAAATGGATAGCTTAGATCTCTTGATATATCTGTACCATGTATATAGTTCAGACTGATCATGTACTGTGATGGGCACTGTCATAAAAACATTAAAAACAAAAAACAAGCAGGGAACTATAAGAACAATGAAGGTACTGAATGCACAAGCCTCTGAGGAAATTATAAACCTCCACAACATTCATAGTTCAGCATAATTTCAAATAGGTTTTCATTGGGTATTCTGAATTCTGTGTTCTTGCCACTTTACTTATAAAGGCCTCTCCCTCTCCCTCTCCCTCTCCCTCCCTCTCTCTCTCTCTCTCTCTCTCTCTCACATAGGTCTAAAACCATAATGCCTAAACATCTGAAACTTGGCACATGTGCTATAGCAATCTTAGATGTGTGCACTTTGGGATTTAAACTAATTATTCAGTGACTTTATTTGAATATCGTGATGTGTTTGAGGACTACAGTACCATAATCAGTCACTAGGTGACAGACCTTTATTATTAGCACATTGTTTTGCAGTTGAAACTGTTTGAAGCTAGTAGAGTACTCTGAGGAACAAAGTTATAAGGCTGTTCTGATGGACCCTCGCTTAGCCAAACCCACGGATCTGAATTATGCATCATAGGACTGGGCATGTCCAGTTCTTCCAGAAGCCATGCATTCACTCATATAGGATGAAGTGTGGAATTCACAATGTGTAATGTAGCTTGAAGTCTGTGGTATGGTAAATCATGGGGTATCTGAGGCCCCATTGACATTGCCATTTATAATGTGGTTTCACAATGCAGTTTAACTGCGTGGAATTGCATTATATAAAACTGCATTATGAAACTATTATACGGCAGTTTAGAGGAGACCCGAATTCTTACTCTGGCAAAAGAGAAGAAAAATATAAAAGACCCAAACTTCAAATAATATGAAGGTAGATCTATTCAGGGCTGTCAGGCTTTAGGGACAAGGCACCCTCAAACAGATTTGCCAAATTGTTGATACTTTAGTATTCAGAGTGCCATAACACCAAGCTTAAAGAGACAAGAGGAAAATTAAATGCTTATTTCTCCCAACTGACCTGACCACTATTTAGTTTTACAGATAGCACAATTTGAAGACAGGCAAATGGTATTCTGCAAGATTCTTGTTTTTCCATAATGGATTGCCAGTAGATCTAATTGCTGCTATCTCCAGACATACTTCTTTTTAGTAAGCCAGGATAGATTTGGAATAGTCCATTGTTGATTCTTAGTATGAGTACATTGAGTATAACCTGTAAACTGATGGATTTAGCAGTTATAACGATCCTACCCCAACTTTCCTCCCAGTGGATCAACATTTAGGTCAAACAACACCGAATCTAGTCCGAATCTAGGCTTTTGTAAGTTGGGTTGGGTGTGAATCTTTCAACTGACCACCTGATTAGCATACAATGGGCTGACTGTGCCTGGAGCAAACTCTTCTTGAAGGGTGATTAGATGTCCCTGCCTGTTTTTCTCCCTGCTGTTTTTGCTGTTGCAATTTTAGAATTTTTTAATACTGGTAGCCAGATTTTGTTCATTTTCATGGTTTGGCTGGCTACCAGTATTAAAAAATTCTAAAATTGCAACAGCAAAAACAGCAGGGAGAAAAACAGGCAGGGACATCTAATCACCCTTCAAGAAGAGTTTGCTCCAGGCAGTCAGCCCATTGTATGCTAATCAGGTGGTCAGTTGAAAGATTCCCACCCAACCCAACTTACAAAAGCCTTTTGTCTCACCCTGGTCATTCCACAGATATATAAACCCCTTTTTTCCCAGCTCCAGCAGACCTCACCTCTGAGGAAGCTTGCCATAGATGCAGGCGAAACGTCAGGAGAAATGCCTCTAGAACATGGCCATATAGCCCGAAAAAATCCACAAGAACTGAGTGATTCCGGCCATGAAAGCCTTCGACAATACAATAATAATACTAATAATAATAACTTTATTTTTGTACCCTGCCTCCATCTCCCTGAAGGGACTCAGAGCGGCTTATGTATGGTACAAAGTGCCTAAAACAGAGCATAAAATAAACACACAGTAAATACAATAAAGTAAACCATATAGTATATAAAACAACAATTTAAAAACTCAGGACAATGCCCAAAACCTATGGTGACAACTATCATAGGACATGGCCAGACTGTAAACAAGTTAAGGGGACGGGACTGTGCAGATTGTAGCTAAGGAACAAGGGCATGGGATGAAGGTGTAGTGTTGTGTCATTTATTGCGGACCACTGGGACTAATGTTCTCAAAAGTCTTGTTTAAACATCCGAGTCTTCAGATCCCTACAGAAGGACAGTGTGGGACCTGCCTAATCTCCCTGGGGAGGTTGTTCAAAGCCCGGGGGGGGGGCTACCACTGAGAAGGTCCTCTCCCTCGTCCCCACCAACACAAGTACATTGGGGGGGGGGGGCAGTCACAAAGATAGACAGGGCCCAAACAGTTTAGGGCTTTATAGGTAATGACCTTTATTTTGAATTAAGACCAGAAACCAATGGAGCTGCTTTAATAGGGGCATTGTGTACTCCCTATAGCTGCTCTAGTTACTAGCCTAGTAGCTAACTACCATTGCCTTCAGTGAGACTTGCTTCCAAGCAAAAATGCATAGGAGTGAGACTTAAAGGTAAATCCGGAGCATGTAGCTAAACATGAATTTCTTATTTACTCTCATGTGTATATCTGGGGCCCAATCCAAGCCCAAAGCTGCCTGCAACAATAGAGACAGGATGCAAACCCCATATCCTGCAATAGTATTTTGCTTTTCATAAATTCACTCTTTCCCCTCATGCCTGGGATAAAAAAGAAAGTGGAAAAACCAACGTAACATTTTGTGTTTTAAAAGGTCTCTAGCAAGTATGCACGACTAAAGAACAAAATTGCAAGTACATTGTTTTCCTTTTTGTCTGAACACAATATTTCACACTTTAGGGACTTGTGACAGCATGACTTGACATAATTTTGAACTGAAATCAGACAAAGTTTGGTTAATGTGAGCTATATACACCTAAAAACCAGGTTGGAACCACCTGTTAGAAGCTATAGTTTTATGGTAGAGTACTAAAATTTGCTTTTGTGGTTTTGTGAAACTTGGCTTACCTATAGGGTTGTGAGAATTAAAATTGGGGAGGGATCCTGTATCTTGTGAATGCTTGTGTAGAAGAGGGAATTTGAGAAGGCGTTGCTCCTTACTCAACCAGATAATATCCTCTTCTAACAATTACTAAAGGTACAGAAGCTATCTCCAGTTTTCAACCAGGTAATCCTATACAATTCTTACACTGCTACCTGAGGAATGCAGCATAATCAAGACTGAAACACTTGCACACCAACACCACATAAACCTTGGAAAAGTTCATGTAATACAACAATAACCAAGTAGAGTGTGCACCAAATTCTTGTTCTTCATTCACTTGACACAAAAAACCTTACACTTGTGTAGCATCGTGAGCTGTAGAATATTAGAAAAAGAGGGATATCTTTTTATAACTATAAACAAAACAAAACATAACAATGGTGTCTTCAAATTTCATCACCAATCCATGTTGGAGAGAGGAATGATGGGCACCGAAACCGAAATGGTGGGATGGATGAGAAGAATTCTAGTCTACCTGCAGAGTTGCATCAAATCTGTAGACCAGAAACAGTGAATCAGGACCATTTTGATTGTCTTCTGTGGTTCTTCTTTCAAGAAAGAATCTTTCTCTGTCCTTAGTTTTTGCCTTTTCATCAGAATCCAGCTGTAACTCTGAAATGTTAAAACATCAGTAATAAGGATGCATCCCTTTGTGGTTCCACTAGAGGGCAGGATTTATCTAACAAAAATATAAATAACTTCCCTCTGAAAAATAGGAATTGCCTACTTTTCCATAGGACCCTTCCAGACAGGCCATATACCCCAGGATCTGATCCCAGGTTTTCTGTTTATCCCAGATTGTCTGGCAATGCAAACTCATATAATCCAATTTAAAGCAGAAAACCTAGGATCAGATCCTGGGATATAGAGCCTGTTTGGAAGGATTGCTAGTGGGGCACATTTTGTTATTTTCATCCCTATGTTGCTAAGTGTATACACCCCTTCAAATAACCAATCAACTAATGGCAACCCTGTGAATTTCATAGGGTTTTCTTAGGCAAGGAATACTCACAGCTCTTTCTTCTGTAATATAACCAGCAAGCACCTGGCAATCTCTTGTGGTCTCCCAGCCAAGCACTAACCAGGAATTACCCTGCTTATCTTATAAGATCAGTGATCTGGTGTCTTTAGGGCATTTAGGTCTGATCGATGGCAAGGACCCAGATCAAAGTTTAGTACAAGCTGAGCATCCCTTATCTTGAATTCTGAAATACAAAATAGTACAAAATTGTCCACATGGGTCATTGGGATACAAGAAAGGAGATTCCATCTGAGCATTAGGAGGAACTTCCTGACTGTGAGAGCTGTTCAGCAATGGAACTCTCTGCCTCGGAGTGTGGTGGAGGCTCCTTCTTTGGAGGCTTTTAAACAGAGGCTGGATGGCCATCTGTCGGAGGTGCTTTGAATGCAATTTTCCTGCTTCTTGGCAGGGGGTTGGATTGGTTGGCTCATGAGGTCTCTTCCAACTCTATGATTCTCTAATTGCCTTCAGGCCATGTGCACATTTATATATATGAAACATACATAAATTTCATGTTTAGACTTGGGCCCCATCTCCAAAATAGCTCATTGCGTACAGATGTACACATCTATAAAAAATCTGAAATTCAAAATGGTGCCATTCGCGCATCGACACTATATAATTAATGGATGTTGATATCCTGTCATGGCTCAATGCTATGGAAACATGTGAGTTGTTGTTTTACAACATCTTTAGCTATCTCTGACAGAGCATTAAGCTATGACAGTTTAAGAGGATGCTGCATTGTGTTACGTTAAACTGGTTTAACTGTTATTTGTCATTTTATAGGAGGTATAGGCCAACTTTGGCCCTCCAGGTGTTTTGGACTTCAACTCCCACAATTCCTAACAGCCTACCAGCTGTTAGGAATTGTGGGAGTTGAAGTCCAAAATACCTGGAGGGCCAAAGTTGTCCCATGCCTGTTGTATAGTGTGTATTTAGTATTATTTTAATAATGTTAATAGTTTATTTTTATTTTAATGCTGATTATGTTTTAAATATATCTTACAATCTTTTAAAATTTTACTACCCTGAGTTCCAATTTTAGGGTAAAGGCTGGATTATAATAGTAATTATACTGATGATAACAACCACAACAATTCTGGTAACAGTAAGTAAGCTATTTTTCAACAAGATTGCTTACAGTTACTGACCTGCTCATGGGAAAAACCCTAGTAAAGCTTCCTAGAATTCCCAGAATTTCCCAGAAGAGCACAGTACCAAAACATTGAGTCAGAAGAGTTGTATCTCAAAGCAAATACCCGGCCGTCTTTTACTGTAATGGTTCTGTTGGAAAAGCAAATACAAATAGTAACACGCCTCCCCTTTCCTTTATCATGAATTGGCACATTGCAATCTATGCATCCCATTCCTCAGTGCATACCATACTTTGTGCATAGATTAATGTTGCCTTGTAATCCTATATAACTAGCATCTGTTGTAGATATCGTCACTGAGCGTTGAGTTAAGAGGAGGAATGCAGAAGAAAAATGTGGACAGAATGTGGTTCTGCTCACAAGGAGTAGCCCAATCTGGCTTCAGAACAGAAACCAGCTCAAATTTGCATAAAAGTTATTCGGGTTGAACATTACTAAATCCCACTCATCGTCCTCCTCCCCCAGAAAGGATTGGATTTCTTTTACTTACTTTGCTCCAAATGCCTGTATACATTTTCCAGGAAGAACGTGGGACACTCTGGATGTGGATTTACAAGTTGGTGCTGGAGGATTTAATTAATCCATATCTCATACTGCCAGGAAAAAAAGATAATAGTATTTTTTCTAGCAAGGATTTATGCTGGAAGATTGCCTTGAGTTAAAGCAAAGGGTCCCCCTTGTACCACAGAATTATGGCCTGGCTTCTTCTTAGAACTTGCTTCCAAAAAGTTGTCCCTGGTGGTAGATTTTCTTACAAAACCAGAGCATGGAGCAGGGGACCCCTGGCTGCATATATGCCAGAAGCCACGTCTTTTCTTGGTCCAGTGGATCACCAAGGGCTGTATCAGGTGTCAGTGGAGCAAACAGATGCCTTCTGGGGAACACTAGCAAGAAGCCGACTTTTGTGGATCAGTCCTTTTCATTCTGTCAGTAAATGTAACCTGCAGCAAGGCCACGTGTCCTGGTTCCTGGGAGGACAGCTGAATGTAGCTGGTAAGTTGTAAACAAATCTGTTCTCTCTGACTTGCTCTCTATTATAGCCTTGGACACTTCAATGCAAGTTCCATTTTATTCTCACTGATATACAATTTCTTGTCTTTAATAACGACGATAATATATGTTCTGCTTATGCTTAAATGGGACTTTGGACATAAGCAGCTGAGAAGATGACAGAACACTGGAAGGGTGAAGATGGGAGAGGAACCAGTAAATGGGGAGTTCTCTCATTCTTTGCTGGCCTGGTTGTGTTGGCATCCTATTTTGCTATTAGCAGAGGTACCGACGAAGCCAAGACCTTAGGCAGGATGGTGGCAACATAGGAACAATTTGACACCATACAGAGAATTGATGATGGCAGCATCCCTCTAGACAGTGGAGCAGGTCAAATCAGACCTGATCAAGCTCCCCAGACCTCCCTGAAGTCCCAGGATATTTTGCAGTTTTCAACGAACTCTGGAGTACCTCCTGACTTTGTTTAAAGCAGGACAAAGTCGGAGTATTTCTGGGAAAAAATGTAAACATGCACTAGAAGCTGTAGTACATAATGAAACAGCCAGTGCAATGAAGCCCATCGCTCCATCCAATGCTGAGATTTGAGTCTTTTGAGTCATTTAGAAGTCTGAGGTAGAAAATAGTACTGCTGTCTGTTATGGCAACTGTAGTGCTGTGTTAAAGGCTGAAGAGTTTTCTCTATTTAGATACAAAGCCGAGAGTAGTGACTGTTTTTTTTTAAAAAATGTTTTATGGGTTAAATGAGCAGAAGTGGTATTTGTCTATTCCCTTCACTTAGTTCCTCCAGACATTTTTCCCTGTCCAGTTTCAATGCCACTGAAGACATGGCTAGGAGAAATAAAAAAGGTCTAAACCAGTGGTTTCCAACCTTTTTTTGACCAGGGACCACTTGACCAGGGACCACTTTACCAGGCACCACTCTCCAACATTAGTACCAAAAAGGTTACAAACCAGTTATTGGTCAACTTTCAGTTTGGTTTGGTTATTTGGGGTGCTGATTCAGAAAATTGCATTGGATAGACCACACACCACCTCTAGTTACTGATACACAACGTATGCCATCCAGTAGTCGCCATCTGCTCGCCCACAGAAAACCATATTTATTTATTTATTTATTTACCTTATTTATAGCCTGTCCTTCTCAACCCCAAAGTGGACTCAAGGCTACTTTACACATAGGCTTTCAATGCCTTTAAAAATAATAATCTAGAGCTGATGTGATAGTAAAAAATCTTTCATGGGTAGTCAGCCTCTCCCCTCCCGATATCCCTGTTGCCTTGGCACTATAAGAGGGTTTCGTGAGACCAGTCACTCTTGTTGCTGTGTGGTTTCAAGGCAACAGTGTAGTAATGGTGAAGCTGCGGACCATATTTTTGTTCTTGAGGAGCACTGGTGGTCCATGGACCACAGATTGGGAACCACTGGTCTAAACTAAGCTATGGACTGCAGAAAGTCAAATGGGGGTTTGTGGAGAATTCGGCTTCCTTCAACCACATGTTTCTTTGTGTACAAAAAGTAAACATCAATTTTCTACTTTGTGCATAAAGGTGAGCATCACAAGATTGCCCTAGCCTAATCAAATGAAAACAATATCATCAGTAAAGGTGGTCTCAATAAGCACAGGGGATGTCCTCCCATATTTTCAATGTAAGTTGAGACAGAGGTAGGAAGCCAGTTTCATAGGGAACCATTGGGGATCAAGGGGATGCGTTTCAATAGAGGTGAAGTCACCATAAAGTTAGCAATAAGTAACCACCAATTTTAAAGAGGCTTAAACCAAAATAAATAAATAAATAAATAAATAAATAAATAAATAAATAAAATCAGCACTCCCATTTTTCCGGCTAGATAAAATTGGAGATCCTTCAAAGAGAGACAAGAAAAGACAGCAACTAGGTTCTTGTGGGTTTTTTCGGGCTATAGAGCCATGTTCTAGAGGCATTTCTCCTGACGTTTCGCCTGCATCTATGGCAAGCATCCTCAGAGGTTGAGAAGGTCTGTTGGAAGTAGGAAAAATGGGCTTATATATCTGTGGAATGGCTGGGGTGGGGCAAGGAGCTCTTCCCTGCTGCAGTTAGGTGTGAATGTTTAGCTGATCACCTTCATTAGCATTTGAAGGCCTGCCTGAGTCTGGGAAAATCTGTTGCTGGGAGGTGTTAATCTGTGCCTGGTTTTTTCCTCTCTGTTGTTTAGCTGTTATAATTTTAGAGTTTTTTAATACTGGTAGCCAGATTTTGTTCATTTTCATGGTCTCTTCCTTTCTGTTGAAATTGTCCACATGCTTGTGGATTTCAATGGCTTCTCTGTGTAGTCTGACATGGTGGTTGTTGGTGTGGTCCAGCATTTCTGTGTTCTCAAATAATATGCTGTGTCCAGGCTGGTTCATCAGGTGCTCTGCTATGGCTGACTTCTCTGGTTGAAGTAGTCTGCAGTGCCTTTCATGTTCCTTGATGCGTGTCTGGGCGCTGCGTTTGGTGGTCCCTATGTAGACTTGTCCACAGCTGCATGGTATACGGTAGACTCCTGCAGAGGTGAGAGGATCCCTCTTGTCCTTTGCTGAACGTAGCATTTGTTGGATTTTCTTGGTGGGTCTGTAGATGGTTTGTATGTTGTGTTTCCTCATCAGCTTCCCTATGTGGTCAGTGGTTCCCTTGTATGGCAGGAACACTTTTCCTCTGGGTGGATCTTCGTCTTTACTCTCGTGGCTTGTTCTTGGTCTTGCAGCTCTTCTGATGTCTGAGGTGGAGTATCCATTGGCCTGGAGAGCCCAGTTGAGGTGGTTCAGTTCATCTTGGAGGAGGTGGGGTTCGCAGATTCTTTTTGCACGGTCTGCCAAGGCTTTAATGGTGCTTCTTTTTTGACTTGGGTGATGGTTGGAGTTGTTATGTAGATATCTATCTGTGTGTGTGGGTTTTCTGTAGACGGTGTGACCCAATTGTTGATCTGGTTTGCGGATGACTAGGACATCTAGAAAAGGCAGTCTTCCTTCATTTTCTTTTTCCATGGTGAACTGGATGTTTGGGTGGATGCTGTTAAGATGGTCCAGGAACCTGTTGAGTTCTTCTTCTCCATGGCTCCAAATGGTGAAGGTGTCATCCACATATCTGAACCATATCGTGGGCTTTTTGGTTGCTGTCTCCAGGGCTTGTTCTTCAAAGTGTTCCATGTAGAAGTTAGCGATGACCGGGCTGAGAGGGCTCCCCATAGCTACTCCATCTTTCTGTTCGTAGAATTCATTGTCCCACTGAAAGTAACTGGTGGTAAGACAATGGTGAAACAGAGCCGTGATGTCTTCTGGGAACCTCTGGTTGATGAGTGCCATGGTGTCTGCTACCGGGACCATGGTAAATAGAGATACCACATCGAAGCTGATCAGTTTGTCGTTTGTATTTAGCTTGAGATTGCTGATTTTTTCTATGAAGTGGGCTGAGTCCTTGATGTAGTGTGTAGTGAGCCCAATATGGCTTTGTAACTGTGCAGCAAGAAATTTTGCTAGGTCGTATGTGGGGGATCCAATGGCACTCACAATGGGTCTGAGTGGGGTGGAGTCCTTATGGATTTTTGGGAGTCCATAAAGCCTGGGTGGATGGGCTTCCGATTTACATAGCTGTTGTCGTATGTCAAAGTTTATGAGGAGTTCTTAATCAGGGTGTTGGTTTTCTTGGTTATTTTGGCAGTTGGGTCTTGCTTGAGTTTTTTGTATATAGTAGGGTCCAGGAGTTTTCTGATCTTCTCCTTGTATTGTTCTGTATGCATGATAACTGTGGCATTCCCCTTGTCTGCTGGCATAACGAGGATATCCGGATCTGAATTCAGTTCTCTGATGGCTTGTCTTTCCTTCCTAGTAATGTTACTGGAGGGAAGTTTTGCCTTTTTCAGGATCCTTGCTGTTTCTGCTCGTACTTCTTCTGCTTCCTCGGGGAGGCGATAAATTGCTGATTCAACATTGGCAATGATGTTTTCTACTGGGATCCTGGTGGCGGTTACAGCAAAGTTCCTCCTTTCGCTAGTATGGATACTTGGTCTTCAGAGAGTTGTCTGTCTGTCAGGTTGATGATGGTCCGTGATGTATCCAGTTCTGGTTTCGGCTGTTGCTTTTGGCGTTTGTGGAATTTTTATTTTTGTCTGTTGGTGTGGACAGCCATGTTTTTCTCCATTTTCCTGTAAGTGAGGTTGTCTATTTTGTCCCAGTCCTGGGAATTCATCTTCTGGCTGATGTTGATATGGAGGTGCAGCAGTTCCTTGTCTGTGTTTGCGAGTTCTTTGCGGATGGTGTGAATTCTCTCTCGTAAGAGACAGCAACTGCTGTTCCCAAAAGTGCTTGGATGGAGTGAATTGGCTTGTCATCAGGTGATAGTTCTCTGCAGAGGAGCACACAGGCAGAGAGCAAACTGTGTTCTTCTGCTGAGTCTTCTGCAACAGCCGTCCAAAGTGGGGAAAGCACATCAGGAGAGAGACAGAAACAAAGAGAGACAGCACATCTCCTATTATATCTTCTGCAAGTAGAGAAGATACAAAAGGATGAGATGCAGCAAATGTAAAGTAACTGGATGTATTTAAAAGAAAAAGGAAAGCAAAGCAAAACAACAACAATAAACCCTACCAGTACTACCATAACATTCCTATTGACTACTTTGTTCTACTCAGTCCTTGATGAAAAGCAAGCTGTAAAATGCCACAAGATTCATTGTCACTTTTTACTTCATCATGCCTAGTAGGATTAACCCTTTCCATGTTTGAATTCCAGTTTCTGTCTCACACCCAGTTTCTAAGCTAACAATTGTAATTTCTTCTTTCAAGCCGGGCCACGACCAAAGTTACTTTGTCCCCTTCTTAATTTCCTCAACTTAGGCAGGTCAAAGCAATCAACTCCAGTCAAAAATCCCAAACAGCCCCACTCTCTCATTTCACCTGGCTCACTCTCCCATCTACTCAACTGCACAAATTTATTGGAAGATTGTTGTATCGTGGGTGAGATGTTCATTCATTTATGGATTTATGCATCGAGAATTCTGTAAAATTGAGAAGGGAAGTGGTATGAAAGCATTATCAGTGATGGTTCATCCCAGAGTGACCCAAGACATCTTTCTGACTAAGGAAGATCAGCATTTAATGTACCGTACTCCCTATAAGGCAGTGTTCCCAACCTGTGGTCTGTGGACCACCAGTGGTCCCCAAGAACAAAATATGGTCAGCGGGTTCACTGTTACTACACAGTTGCAACCAGAGCAACTGGTCTCGTGAAACCCTTTTATAGTGCTGAGCAATGGGGATGCCGGGAGGGGAAAGGCTGACTACCCACGAAAGGCATGATACCAAGCCTTCTGACTGCTACTTCTCTTCCTTCTCCCTCTCCCTGAGTGGAACCATTCCACGTGGGACCTGAAAGCGGGGGTGCCTTGGTGTCTTTGTTTTTTGGCCTCTTCCCGGGGTTAATTGGGGTACTGATTCTGAAAATTGCATTGGATAGACAACATTAGCTCTAGATTATTAAATATGGTTTTCTGTGGGCAAGGAGATGGCGACTACTGGATGGCATATGTTCTGTATCGGAAACTAGAGCTGATGTGGTCTATCCAATGCAATTTTCTGAATCAAATGACCCAACTAAATCTAAAGTTGACCAAAAACCGATTCGTAACCCCTTTGGTACTAATGTTGGAGGGTGGTCCGTGGTCAAAGTGGTTCCTAGTCAAGTGGTCCCTGGTCAAAAAAAACAAAACATTGGGAACCACTGCTATACGGGGTGCAGTGCCCAAGACTAGTTATGTTAATTTGATTCTTTAGACAGACAAAACTCGTAAGCAACTCTCCACAAGAGTAGAAATATGATAAAATATATTGAATACTTAAAGAACATGGAAAGTACATAGAAAAGTGGGTGATAAGCTTCACAGGAATGTAGTTGAACTGCTAAACTCTATGTACAATTCCTTAAGCATCAAATGTGTGCCACAATGAACTGAAATCCTGATCATTTATTTAGCTGTACTAATTGCTCTAATGTCTGCTATAGAGAAACAATTAATTGAGAAATGGTTATTTGACTATTTAGTAAAGAAACCCTCTGTAATATATTGGCTTGAGTTTAACTTTACGCCACCAAATAGAAATTGACTACTGTTCCTCCTTGTCCTTTCTTATCTACCTCTCCTTGTGAATCAAAGTTGAGCAACATATTTTTCATTCAACCAGGATTTTGCAATTCATTGAATTTTGTGCTGTGTGAATTATTAACTTTGATTTGAGGAGTTCTAATGGATGCATTGATAACAGTGCAATAGATGACCCCAGTCCACCTGGCTTCATTAAATGTACCTATTGATTAATAATGGGGCATTTAGACTTTGGTAATCAAATCAGAACTAACTTGTTTTTATACACTTGTACAAACATGACTTTTAAACAGAAAGATTAATAGTTAATGGAGTGCTAGTATGTCTATTTGTAAGTGGTATGCTATAAAAACTATTTTAATGTTTTAGTGTTTTATTGGAAATATGCTGACATATCTTTCAGTGTTTTAACTATTTTAGCATGTTTAATTTCTTTTTAAATGTAAAATATGTTGAATTATATATATTAAAATTATTGTAAGCAGCTTTGAATCCCATTCTGGGAGAAAAGTGAGACGTAAATAAAAAATAGGATTCAAATATAAGCGTAAGTAGTTTGGCTGGTTGAAATACATTCCTTCAGCACATCTTTCTCAAACCAATTCTTCCAGCCTATTGATAATGCTACATTGAGGTTCAGGGGACTCTACTGAGTGAGGTATTTTTTTATGACTGGAACTCTTTCATCTACAGATTCTGCATCCAACATAATGCATGACATTTAAATTACGTTTGGTTCCCCAATTTAAAAACTTGCTTTAGCATGATCATTTACATAAGATAATTTATTTCCTCATAAATGTTGGCTTGATGGTGGCTTCTAAAGCTGAAATGGTGGAGGACCCATCAAAATAATTTGCTCACAGACACTTGTAGAAACTGAAGGATTCCTGAATACTCTGGGGGACTTTGTAGCTCATAGGACTGATAATTTGACCAAATCCTCAATCTTGCTATGGAATAGTGAGATGAAAAGGGTATTGTTTTTTTTTTACCATGTCAGGAGCGACTTGAGAAACTGCAAGTTGCTTTTGGTGTGAGAATTGGCTGTCTGCAGAGACGTTGTCCAGGGGATGCCCTGATGTTTTTGATGTTTTACCATCCTTGTGGGAGGCCTCTCTCATGTCACTGCATGGGCAGCTGGAGCTGACAGAGGGAGCTCAACCTGCTATCCCCAGATTTGCACCGCTGACCTGTTGGTCAACAGTCCTGCTGGCACAAGGGTTTAACCCATTGCGCCACCAGGGGTCATTGATACAATTGCTCCTGTGCTATTAATGTGGGTCAATATACCATGGGATTCACTTCGGAGCTTCCAGAAATTTTGCATTTTTCTTTAACTTTCTTTAGAACGAAGCTAGACCATCAGAAGATTAAAATAAAAGAGCACAGATGAGAGAATAATGAGAACTGTCTTTTCTGGAACTCACTACCTGGAGAGATTAGGAAAGCCCCTACCTAGAAACCTTTAAAAAGAACCTTAAAACCTGGCTCTTCCGCTGCGCATTTGATGAATAGATTTACATCCTCACACTAGTGTTCAGCCTAAACGTTTTTGTCATTGGAATACATCCCCCTCCCCTTTGTGGGAAAGCTTGATTCCACAACCTCCACTATAATGAACCCTCCTCCGCAAATAATTTGTTTCTTCCTTATCTCGCCTGAGTTTTTAATCAGTTTTTAATCAGCCTTTATTTTATTCATTACATGTAGCCCGCCCATTGACATTGTGATTGTGCCTATTGTAATTTTATATTGCTATGTTTTCATATGTTTTATGTAATTACGTTGTTGTTGTTTGTTGTTTGCGTTTTCGGTTCTATTTTATGTAATTGGTGTCTGGGCTTGGCCTCATGTAAGCTGCTCTGAGTCCCCATTGGAGAGATGGTGGTGGGGTATAAATAAAGTATTATTATTATTACTATTATTATTATTATTATTATTATTATTATTATTATTTCAGTCAACTGCTTGGACCGGCATGTCCACCAAGCTCCAAATAAAGTGGCCCTGATCTGGGAGAAAGATGAACCTGGGCAAGAGGAACGAATTACATACAGGTCATTACCTACTTATTTCACCTTGTTCTCTTTTTGAATATATGTGAATGGAAATTTTAACATGTAAAATGTATTCCACAGCTCTTACATTATGCCATCAAAGGTGCTGGTACTTTATTCCATCTAAAATATTCCATCTCATCCAGTAGTATCTACCCTGACTAGAATTATATTTCAAGATCTCTAGAAGGGGTCCTCCCCATACATCTTAAATGGTAGAGGAAAATGAATGGATCAAATATATTCCATCCCATAATCCTTGTCATTCTTTATCATGCATTGAAGGAGCCCGGTGAAATAATAAAGCAGATTATATCGACATTATTGGGTGTTTCTTTTGGACAGAGAACTGCTGGAGATGACATGCCGCCTTGCAAACACCTTGAAGCGACAGGGAGTGAAGAAGGGTGACAGAGTTGTGATTTACATGCCTCCATGTCCAATGGCTGTGATGAGTATGTTGGCCTGTGCCCGAATTGGAGCAATACATACAGTGGTCTTTGCTGGATTCAGTTCTGTTGCTTTGGCAGACAGGATCCAAGATGGTAAGAAGTTCTTTTTTGCAGACTGGGTGTGTCCTTTTCCTTATCTTTCTGCTAGCAGCCCCTTGTCAATGACCAGCTGAATCCACAAAAGGAGTGATTAAGCATGAGTGAGTCTCCCTAATACTTAGTTCTTACTTGAGCCATCTTTTAATAGAAAAGTCTGGGAAAATAATCCTTTAGGCTAAAAGGATTTCTCACTTAGGAAACCCTAAGAATGTGAGAGGACACACTTCATATTTTTCATTGAGAAATGTATTTTCTGAATGAAAGCATTTGGTTCTTAGTGCTAAGTAAGCATTTTAATTAATTAATATTCTGCATTTCTCCTGTCAAGGTAGCATACAATAAAGTTAAAACAAGCAACAGCTAAGCCATATGATACCAAAGTTGAAAAACAATCAAATAAACTGTTATATTAAAACATCAATAATTAAAAATAGTATAAAATTCCTTTAAAACACGAGAAGTTGAAAACTATATCAATGCTGCTAAACTATACAGTCTGTAGATTTTCTTAGATGTGGACTATATGGGTGGAGCCACTGGTGGCGCAGTGGGTTAAACCGCTGAGCTGCTGTATTTGCTCACCGAAAGGTTGCAGGTTTGAATCCAGGGAGTGGCATGAGCTGTTAGCCCCAGCTTCTTCCAACCTAGCAGTTCAAAAACATGCAAATGTGAGTAATGGCACTCCATGTAGTCATGCTGGCCACATGACCTTGGAGGTTTCTATGGACAGCACTGGTTCTTCGGCTTAGAAATGGAGATGAGCACCAACCCCCAGAGTCGGGCACAACTGGACTTCATGTCAGGGGAAAACCTTTACCTTTAACCTATATGGTAGAAGGAGTATCCCAAGATCTGCATGCAACTTTAAGGAAAGAATTGCAGCAACAGAATGTACCCTAGTGTTGGCAACTCTGAACCTGAAGACAGATCAGGTCTGAAAGCCCATCCTATTACGTTTAATTTATGACTCGAGGGCTCGAACCTTCCTTAAAAGCTGCTCTATGAAGACAAAGACATCATCAGTCAAGGAAATAGACCTCAGAGTTGTTGGAGGAGTATGCATTAGTGGCATATTCAATGAAACAGAGAAAAAAATTTGACTTGGAATGATCCTGTGTGGATGAATCACAAGGAACATGCTCACTAACTGCATTTTGGATGATATGGCGAGTGAGGTAAATAAGGTGGCCAAATTGGGGCCATCAATGCTGTGGACTGAGTTTGGGGAGGGAATGGTAAGGTAACTCTGGATCATGCTATTCAGGATGCTGCCCCAAAAGTGAGACTGAGAATTACAATGAAATATCAAACGGGAGAGCTGATCTAGAGGTTCAGTGGTTGAATGTAGAAACTGGGAAGCACTGCTTTCTGGATCCAAAGAACTTTGCCTGCTTGTTACTAACTCTGATGGTGCTGAAGCATGGTGTAAATGACTATTGTGTAAATGAGTGTTGTGTGGTTTCTGGACTGTATCGCCTGTTCTAGCAGCATTTTATCCTGATGTTTTGTTTGCACCTGTGGCTGGTACCTTCAGATCTGTCAATTTTATTGATAGTCAAGTGGATTACAATGATGGCAATATCAGCTAGTGTCAACTATACTGGTGATAAAATGGATGCTCCATATGAGTACAATACCATTCCTGCTCATACTCCTCACAGGTAAGCTCTGAAGCTGGGGAGTGATCGTTCCAAAGTGCAGTTATCTTCTGTCATAAGACCTTTAACAATCTTGTTCCTATGAAAATCATGTCCATATCAATCATGGTCAGATTCAAGACAGTGCCAATGACATGGTGATGACCTCTGTCTGGGAGTATTAGACAGTGGAGAGCTGGTCTCAATATAGGAACTTGAGGTTGAAGATGAAAAGGACTTGTGGTCTTGAACAGACCAACATGGAAGAAGCAGAAGCGGAGGAAGATCCTTCTCAGAAGAAGGTTTCACGAGCTGAGGAAATGAGTCCCCTCGGGAAGATAGGGTGGAATACATATTTTTATTTTATTATTATTATCTGCATAGGGGACCTCCATGGCAGTAGGATATTTGACTATTTCACCTTTAGAAGCCTTAGCTGCCTGAACTTCTTGAGGTGACTTTTCTCACAGGGGCATAACCTATACTTCTGTGAGAAAGTCCACATTGAATTTATGGAAATTGGCTGTGCACTGACCTGAAACATGGGGCAGAACAGATGGTGACTTGGACCAAAAACAAACCTTATTCTTCTTCATCACTTCTGGGAAATGTGCTTAGTGGTTCTCAACCTGTGGGCCCCCAGAAATTCTAACAGCTGGTAAACTGGCTGGGATTTCTGGGAGTTGTAGGCCAAAACACCTGGGGACCCACAAGTTGAGATCTACTGTGTTAGAGTGTCCTATGCTCAAGTCAGTAAGTGACCCAGGTACCAGATGGTTAGAGCGCAAGAGCTCTTGAGCAGTTAATTCAGTCCATCAGAATGAAGGGTAAAAGAAGAGGGTGGTCATCAGCCAGTTCAGGAGATATTATAACAAGTGGCATGGGTGGAAGAGATTTTAATTTCAATTTAGATTCCACGTTCAGATTTGCTTTTCAAGAAAGTATCCCTAGGCACAGATATTAGCAAGTTAAAGTAATTTTTCTAATGGCCCTGAACCCAATTTAGAATCTCAGTGATAGAGAAATGTATTGTTCAAGGTATAGTGAGATTGTCACTTGCATCAGTTCTTGCCATTGGCTATGCTGGCTATTGGCTATACTGGCTTAGACTAAGGTCAGTTGTAATTCAGTAACACCATCTAGGAAGTCATATAGTGTCTATCCATCCTGCATTTGTGAAGGAATCCCGACTCCCATCCCCAAGAAGGAATTTTCTGAAGTAGGGTTGGAGCCCATGTAGGCCTCCAGAATACAGATGCTGGTGGATTGAGTCCCCTTTGGGGAGATAAAGTGAGGTATAATTAATAATAATAATAATAATAATAATAATAATAATAATAATAATAATAATGCTTGCCAACCACACTTTATACTGTAGCTTTCTAGTCATGGGGTGTGGACCCGTGAGAGTTGCTGTCTAACAGAATAATTTCTACCCCTAAAAGAAAAAAAAATCCCCAATATTATATTAAACAAGGAATATCAGTTAAGTTGAGGAGGAAAGGAGTAATCTATTGTATTTAATTCATTTTATTTAATTTTCTCCAGCAAAATCCGAAACTGTGATCACAGTAAACCAAAGCATCCGAGGGGGGAAAGTGGTGGAGTTGAAGCAGACAGTTGACCAAGCTATTAAAATGTGTCCAATGGTGAAGCGAGTTTTTGTTTCAAAGAGGACCGATGCCAACGTTTCAGTGTCAGCACTGGACATCCCACTAGAGGAGGTGAGAACTGCATCCTCATTGCAGGGAAGCAGGGCCAGAAAATTTCTTTCAGGGGTGGTTTAGATGCATAGACAGGAGGTGGAAGGCTTTCATGGCCAGAATCACCGGGTTGCTGTGAGTTTTCCAGGCTGTATGGCCATATTCCAGAAGCACTCCCTCCTGACATTTCACCCTCCTCTATGACAGGCATCCTCAGAAGTTGAGAGTCTGTTGGAAACCAGGCAAATGAGGTTTTTATATATGGGGAATGTCCAGGGTGGAAGAAAGAACTCTTGTCTGTTTGAGGAAAGTGTGAATGTAGCATTGATTTTCAGACAAGAATAAATCTGAGCCAGCTAACACCTCCTAACAAATGATTCCCCCAGGTAGCAACCAGCCAGGCTTTGAAGCTGCAAGGCCATTGCATGCTAATAAAGGTGGCTATTTGCAATATTCACACTTGCCTCAAGCAGACAAGAGTTCTTCCTCCCAGATATCTAAACCTCATTTGCCTAGTTTCCAAAAGATCCCTCAACCTCTGAGGATGTCTGACATAGATGTGGGTGAAACATCAGGAGAGAATGCTTCTGGAACATGGCCATACAGCCCGGAAAACTCACAGCAACCCAATGGTGTTTGTTATTGTGTGCCTTCAAGTCACTTCTGACTTATGGCAACTCTTAGGTGAATCTATCATTTCTTGCCCTTATCTTCCTCAGAGGTTCAGAGAGTGGGACTTCCTCAAAAATAGCCACTGACTGGGAAATTTCAGCATTTTAAGAGACTTTTAAAGAAAGTAACTTTTCCAAACTCTAGAAATTTGCAGTAAATCTGATATATGAGGTGGGTTTTCTAATGGATCTCAATGTGTGGGGAAGGCTGAACTCTTTTCTCACTCACTTTGGTCCAAATGAAAAACAATGAAAAGTTGTATATTATTTGTTTGGCCGTTGTACAAGGGAATTAAAGGGGAACCAGGAATTATGAAGACAGCATGCTTCTTTTATACAGTTACAGCATCACAAATGTCATTCCAAATGCTTTGACTGCATCCTACATAATCCTGAGGTTTATAGTTTAGGGAGGTTTTCAAGCTTGCCAGTAGAGAATTCTCTAATTAATTCATAAAACTACAAACTCCAGGATATCATAGGATGGACCCATGGAAATCAAAGTATTTCCACTTTGCTGTAATTGTGTAGTGTCAAAGAGTCTTAAGAGGGATTGATTTTCTGCTTCTTGTGACAGGAGATGGTGAAAGAGGATGCAAACTGTGAACCGGTTGCCTTGGAGAGTGAAGATTTCTTGTTCCTTCTCTATACATCAGGAAGTACTGGGAAGCCCAAAGGACTGGTCCACTCACAAGGAGGCTACTTGCTATATGCTGCTCTCACACACAAGGTAAAGATGACACAAAAATGTAAAATTATCTGTAGAAGATAATGAAAATTAGTACCCCAACTGGTGATGTGACATTTTTCCTCCTCTTATTGTCTGGATCTTGTAGTCAAAACAAATAACCTTTTCAAAACCTTTGAAAAACCAAGGTTCAGTGGGCAGTGTCATTAAAACTAGTGTCACTTGTTACAGTAAAAAAAAAAAAAGCTGCCCATCGGAGTTCACTGGATAACAATTGCCTACAAAATATAAAAAGATTTTACGTAACCGAATGTTTTTGTCAATTTATTTAGAAGGAAGTTGAACTCTCTTCAAAGGAGTCATGTTGACTAGGAATGATGAGAGTTGTACTCAAGTATCAGTCGGAAACTACGTATGGTAACGCTGCTAGTTGAAATTAGAGTCTAGTTGGGAAGGCATCCATGAAGCCATATAAAATGATTTGGTGAATATTATGTATAGATTCTGGTTGCTTCTGGTTGCTTCTGATGCGAGAGAATCAGCTGTCTACAAAGACATTGCACAGGGGACGCCCAGAGCCGTTGCAATCCTGCGGGGAGGCTTCTGTCATGTCAAAGCAGTGACATCTTCGGTGCATCCTCTGTTTGTATATCAGCCAGCAAGCTAACGCCTTAAATCAAGAAATAATTTTCTAAGATCTACAGAGATACTCAGAGAAACATCTCAGCAAGTGAGAGTCCAAAAGTGGCAGGCAAAAACCTGGAACCTCAATCCATGGCTGATACTGAATGAGAGACTCATCCTTGGCCACACAGAAGACTGGGTGACTTGAAAGGTGCTGAACAGACTGTGTTCTGGCACCACAAGATGCAGAGCCAACCTTAGGAAATGGGGCCGCAAAGTGAAGTCCACGACATGCGAGTGTGGAGAAGAGCAAACCACAGACCACCTATTACAATGCAGTCTGAGCCCTGCCACATGCATAGTGGAGGATCTCCTTATAGCATCACCAGAGGCACTCCAAGGGGCCAGCTACTGGTCAAAGGACATTTAATATAATGCCAAGTTTTTAAACTTTGTGTTTTTTTAAATACATATCAACTGTACCCTTGGTTTACTTCTGATACGATAAATAAATAATGTATGGATGTTGATGTTTAGCCTATGTGGCCAAGACCAGTTTAACTAAATGGCTAAGACAATCTGCATTCTTGGAAAGGGATTATATATTTCCTTATTGCTGACTCTCCCTTTTTGCCTGCCCTCTGCAACTTCATTGGTAATGAAGATACTACACATTCCATAAGGACTCTAAGGGACATTTAATCTGTGCTGAGGGTTATGTGACTGTAAGGGTGGAGGCAATAGTGTGTGAGAGAGATAGATAGGGTCATATGGAGGAGTTCACTTTCTTGTCTTTCTTATTCTGTCTATTTCTTAAGTCCTGACTGATATTATCAAGGCGTCTTCAATTCTTCCGTTTCTTTCTTCCAATTCTAGGCGTTGCAGCCATGTAGCTAGCATAGCATTGCCAAACAAGGATGTAACACGAGCATCTGCTTGTCCGGTTTTGATGGATTCATTTCAATTGGTTCAATCCGAGGATGTG